TCGATTATCAACGCGTGTTTTGTCGCGTCTCAAATTGCAAGTGCTTTGCAGCGTCAGCAGTATTAAGTGACGATTAAACGTGAAATCAATAGCATTCTCAATTAGTGAATATAAATAGACTGAACCTAAGAAATTATGGCCTATAAAAAAGATCGTCGGTACGTTTATATAACTATGTTTTAAATAACGTGAATATTTCAAAAGTGGAGCATCGAATTTTTAATCGTTTCAATATTACAAACGAAGCTGCCTGTCACGTAATAGCAGAGAAATTTATTTATTTTGACTCGGTGGATATTTGTGAATTTGTTATGCCCTATAAAAAAGATCGCTAGCACGTGGTGTAAATTGTACGTGCCTCACAGCGTTAGTAGTAAGTGACGATTAAACGACGCGAATCATTAGGATTCCCAACAAGTGAATATAAGTGGACCGTATCTAAATGAATTTGACTTCGGACTAGAGTTTATTTTGCTATGTACTTGATGACTCGAGAGTCTTCGAAGAATTTTTACGTTTCAAAATCTCGGAGTGGGTAGAATTTTTGTGACATTGCTGAGGGAAAACAGTTTCTTTTCTATTGGTTTAGGTAAAATTCGGGTGGAGATGGAAATACAAGTGACGTATGAAATGGGTCTGTTTACACAAAGTGACTGTAGCAAGTAATAAAACGCAATACCTCGACATGAATAGAAAACTGCATACAAAAGACTCTACTAAGGTTAAGGGTTTGGAACGAGATGTGACTGACTATGAAATACTCGCTAGAATGTAATGATTCCTTAGGTGAGTGAATTTGGAGATATAGAAATTTGGGGGTGTAGGGCTTTGGAGGTGTAGGTATTCGGTAATGTAGAGGTTTGGGGATCTGTAGATTTAGGGGGGTAGGGATTTGGAGATATACAAGTTTGCAGATGTAGGGATTTGGGGATGTGGGGTATTGGGGATGTAGGGATTTGGGGGTGAATGGATTTGGAAATGTAGAAATTTGGGGATGTGGGGTATTGGGGATGTAGGGATTTGGAGGTGAATGGATTTGGAAATGTAGAAATTTGGGGATGTGGGGTATTGGGGATGTAGGGATTTGGAGGTGAATGGATTTGGAAATGTAGAAATTTGGGGATGTAGGAATTTGGCAATGTAGCGATTTGAGGATGTGGGATATTGGGGATGTAAGGATTTGGTGGTGAAAGGATTTGGAGATATAGAAATTTAAGGTTGTAGAGATTTGGAGATGGGTTTATTTGGATAGGGATTTGCTTATGTACCGATTTGCGTATCTATAGATTTAGGGATGTAGGGATTTAAATATATAGAAATCTAAAGATGTAGGGAAATTGATTTGAAATTACAAATGAAGGTACGAAGAACCTTGCATCCCTAAAAACTTCCACCATCTAACTCCTCTAAACATATACTCTCACTATAACACTCTACGACTCAACACGAATCTTCAATTTTACCCTCGAATTAATTCGTCACATTCCGTCCAAAAATTCCATAAAACCACTTTAAACTCGTACCAGAGCCAGATCTCGGATTTCATCCCCATCGAATTTGCCTCCAGAAGTAATAAACTTCTCCATAAAAACGGATCTCTATGGCTCCAATCCTCGCAACATCCCGAGCGCACATGTTCGACTTAAAATCCGAGTTCCTCCGGATCGAAGGATATTCAATAAAGTCGAGCTGACCAGATGGTCGGACGTCGAAAGTCGGATGTTTTGCATGTCGGATCGTTATCCTACGTCCGGAGAGATAGAAAAGCCAGTTTCTCCAGAATGATTCGCGTAGATATTTGTTTGAACGCGGCTCACTGACTTATGGGATTATACCTCCGTTGTATGGGAATGCCACTGACCCGGCTCTTTCAGCCCGAGTCTCTTAAAGGGATACGGAACTGCATTCTGGACAGACGTCGATCCTGCCGGGAATAAAGAATGCAAGCTGGTTCGATAAGCAGCACGCCGTGGAATTCAATCGGCATCGTTCGACCAATATTTCATATTTTCCGATATTAGCGGCACGAAACTCGGTGAGTAGTTTCCGCGTTTCTGGAACTGTAGGCTCGGGGCCAATAACGGACGCGGATCGATCATTAGAAAATGGCAAAAAATCTGGCTTTGATCGCTCGCTATGGCAGCATTTGTTTGTGAACTGCTGCACTGTCCATGCTAAATTGATGGAAGGCAATTTATTAGTTTTGTTTGAAAATTTCGCGCGAATCCGCTGGTTTTATCCTGCGTTGCATTCTCGTACATGCGAGTTACATTTACAGCTTTTTGGGATTTTTGTTCGTAGCGAATTTATTCGATTATTGTTAGACAAAATTATTTAGTAAAAATAATATATCTTTCAACTCTTCATTTGTGGGGTTTTTAATGAAAACAAAATTTGATCAGTGACATCAATTTGGTTAAATGACATCATAGTATGAAAGTAGCAAGTAGCATCATAGTATGGAACACAAAATTGTAAGAAGACAGTACAAGAAATATTTCCAATAATTTTAATACCAGTCAAATATTTTCTTTACTTAATTTTGCATATTTACAGCATACTCTAGTAGACAGCATACTCATACTCTATTATTAAGTAGATTTCTAATATTAAATAAAATTGAGTATTAAGTAAGTCAATTTTTTGGCCAGATAATTTATTTAATACATACTGTACTATATCATATATACTTCCAATAAAATTAAGCCGCTAAACCAAAAATATTTATCTCCAAATTGCCGCCCAGAAATCACAATGTCACCGTTCAAGCTAACCACCGCTTTCACCGAAATAACAGTACCAAAATGGCGGACAAAAGGTGGCAGCACAAAAGATCCTTTCTTCATTAGTGACGTCAGCGAATCCTGCGAATCTGTCGGTGAAACAATTTTTCACACCTTCGGAATATTATCGTTGGTTCTGAAAGAAGTTCATCCGTCGAAGGACGACGCTCATTTCCAGGATGTCATGCAAAATTCAGCCGGGTCACCGGCAAGGATAAGGATCGCTCATTCTTCTAAGAGTCAGCCAAACCAGCTTCCTGGGAATTGCTTTCGTTCGTGGAAGCTTAAACTTTAAGTCGACTGCGATTGTCTGGCAAACATTGACTGCCACCACCCACTCAACCCTTCTCGAAGATTGATTTCAACTGTAAAACTCCTGACGGAAGTCAACTCGCTTTTGACACGATTTCCCTCTTTTTCATCCCATCCCTTTTAAGCTTTGTTGCTTTGTCGCGTGGATCAATTTTGGATCGAATAACTCTTTTGCATATGCTGATTAAAATTTCTTTTAACGAGGATCAAAGTTTGAATTGTTTGAACTGGATGACTTTGTTATTTAATCTGTGAAAGTTTCGGTAGTCTCGATTTACTGTACGTTGTATAGTGTAATGTATTTTTACTGTTAAATTATATAATTTTATTGTGGTACATTTTGATGAAGTTGATGACTTTTAAAATTTTTTTAGGGCCGTGTTTTTTTATTTAAAAATTAAGTATTTTCTGGGTGGAGTTTTAAGATTAAATAAATATTTATTTAGTTAAAAATTTTAGAATTAAACGAAAGTAAAACACAGAATCGTTCGATCCCGAATAAATAAAATAAAAAATCTTAACCCGAGCGAATTAGCTACGATAAATAGGTATTTACGTTAAATTCTATTCTAGCCGAGTTTAAGAAGGGAGGATTGTTCTCGCAGGAAAGCGAGCGTTAAAAATCAGATTGAAAATTAAATTGACCGTGACCGAATTGCTTTTCTTCGGGGTAAGGGGTAGTGGCTTCTTTGTAATCGCACCACTTAATTGAAACTGGCAACTCATTTAATCCCCCTCGATTCAGCGAAATGCGTTCGGCGATTAAACTTCTCCGTATTTTGCCCAAATATCTCTCGAATACGGAATCTTGCAACCACCTTTGCGTTCTCTAATTAAAATTAATTAATATAGATTGCTAATTCACTCGCTAATATTCGCGTGAAAATCATCAATTCGATCCACTTAGTGATTTGAACAAATTTCATTTTAAATCGATTAATTTAATTTTCATTTTAATTTTAAATTGATTAATTTAATTTTTATTTTAATTTTAAATTGTTTAATTTTATTTTCATTTTTATTTTAAATTGATTAATTTTATTTTTATTTTAATTTTAAATTGATTAATTTAGTTTTCATTTTCATTTTAAATTGATTAATTTAATTTTCATTTTTATTTTAAATTGATTAATTAAATTGTCATTTTTATTTTAAATTGATTAATTTAATTTTCATTTTAATTTTAAATTGATTAATTTTCTTTCAATTTCGACTTAACATTTTTGTTAATCAAGTTAAAATTTTTGATTTCGAATTGAAAACTATTTAATTTTCTTTGAAAGCTCTCTTATCGATTTCATCCAAAATTAGCTCATCGATTTCATACAAAGTCAGTTCATTCATTTCATCCAAAGTAAGCCTATCAATTTACCCAAAAGTTTGTTAATTGAATTTATTCACATTGTGGCAACGTCTAAAAAATGATGCTCACTATTAAAGTACTTCATACAAAATTCCTAAACGTTCAAAAGTTTGTCCACCGAAGTAAACCTATTTTATATAACACCGAACACCAATTCAATTAAATGTTATACCGCCGAACACTGTTCGAAACTTTCAATTGTAGGCACTAGAACCTTCAACTCCTTCAATTTAATACGTCGTTCGTTAAAATCCCAAACAGATTAAACAGCACTCGAGAAGTTAACAATCGAACAGAAATTTTCTTTCCAAGCTGGAACAAAAACGTTGAATAAATCGTTTTCGTTTTACGGCTTCGCGACTTGGACACAATTTAACGCTTAACCCACACGAACCGATGCATCGGAAATCGAACAAAATTTCACGGAACAACGCTACAAAACTGAACTTTCCGTCGTCGAAGTGAGAAAGGAAGAGAGAGAACGTCGAAAGTACGAGAAAAGTTTTCCATCCAACATCGAATCGTTGGGTGGATCGACTCACCTGTTTAATCCAACTTTTCCACAAGTCCCGGTCCCACGGGTGGTGAAAGCCAAGATACAAGTGTCGTGTCTCGCGATGGTGACTGTCCTCTTGTTGTTGACTTTGATGACACTGTTGAGTGACCCTTGGAAATCCAGTGATACGCAGCACGAGTTTACCAAGACGTGACGGAGCATAACACACAGCACCGCCGCCACCTCCCAGCTCCATCCACTCTGGCCGAGAATCTGGACACGCTGAAATCACGTTGGTTCATTTCAAGTTCACCTATAATTCTGTTAGAATGCATATTACACTGAGAGGATTATACAGCATTAGTTTTTAGTATGGATATTTAGGGATATGTCATTTTTGTTACGTTCTTAAATTTCTATATTACACTAAAACTACCAAACCGGTCAAATGACCGTTCCATAAGTTTCTTATTGTAAGGAACCCACTTTGTTAAAGTACATTCTTTAAAATCAGCATTGATTTTCAAGATAAAGAATAAATGTGTGTACTGACTTATGTGTGGTTGTTTGTTTATTTACTTTTCAACTTCATTTTTAATTTCATATTAAGTACACATTATATGTCGGTAGGTTTAGTGTTAACTAATATATTATTAGAGCTTTGCATATGCAAGTCTACAGGGTGTCTCATAACTGATGTAATTCCCGGAAGGGGGTGGTAGAGGACGTAATTCTGAATAAGATTTTCCTTTACGAAAATGGGGTGTGAAGCTTCGTTTTTGAATTATTAAGCAAAAACACGGACCAATCAGAGCGCGAGGATTACACCCAGTCGGCCATTATGCTCGAAGGCGTCGCTCTCGCGACTGCGCGTCGTGATTGGCGCCGAATCCTCGCGCTCTGATAGGTCCGTGTTTTTCTTTAATAACTCAAAAACGAAGCTTCAACCCCCATTTTTGCAAAAGGAAATTTTGCTTAAAATCGCGTCCTCTACCACCCCTTTCCAGGAACTACACGATTTGTGAGACACCCTGTATAACCCTAGAGCCCAATCTGTCCATCACTGTATCGTTAAATTTAAATGAAAAGTATTATTCTTTTAGTTCAGCGTTCAAAGCCAGACGATAACAATTATCACGAATTAACTGCAAACTCGAACACAAGCGGTATATATTGTACATTTTGTTCGAGGCGATTTTCTGGAACTGGGTTATCTGTCTTTCGAGACAGTGCACAGCAATAGATCCATCGGGTTTATCCGAGTGTTGCTTAATTATCGCTTTACAGACACGGGGTTGGTTTCGTGTAACTTGCGAAGATTAGAGGGATGGGGGTATAAGGTGAGGGGTTGTGCACGAGTTGACGGTAATTGATCCCCTTCAGGTTTGCAAAGTACAGCCAGTTCCACGTTAGCAATGCGAAACGCGAGCTCGTCTTATGGGGTCTTAAATTATTCGAAAACGTTTGCAGAGGAAATCGAGGCCGAGAAGGCCGGTTATTATCGAGGCTACGGATCCGATCTTTGCAGGAAATAAGTTTTTTAAAAATTTACGCCACGTTGCTTCGTCCCTTTGTTCGTCGCGAGCGACAAGGAGCAGTCGCATGGTCTTTAAACGGATCTCTCCATTCTTTATTTAGATCCTTTCTATTTTATAGAAAGAATCGGAGGAAGGAACACGGAGAATGGTCGAATCGTTCGGTCGAGAGAGTAGTATCCTTTCTCTTGTCGTCGTATCGGAATTCGTTCTATCGAAACATTTAACGCGATCTCTCCCGGGAGAGCGTCGACGAGCAATAAGAAGAATTTTTCAATTACTGTCACTCTTTTGTAACATGCTTCAACAACTATCGAAATTTCTCAAATTCAATTCTCCTCACAAAGTCTATCAAAAAATGACGCGTCCTCTACCACCCCCTTCCGGGAATTACATCAGTTATGAGACACCCTGTATACATCGCTAGATACCTATATTGTTGGAGACTATTCCAAATTTATAAATTTTCAGATTTCACTATTCTCAAGAGCTATTGCCAGATTTCTATATTGTCAAGATAAATACGTTACTTGATCAAAGAAGTAGAACGAGTAAGAAAGTAGTCAGACGATAAAAACGTACAGATGTACGTGATGTACCTAAAACCGTCATGTGTACGTACGTATGATTATACACATGTAGGTAAGACAAGTAGAACGTACCAATAAATGGTTAGACATATGAAGTTTGCAGGTGACACAGCAGCAAGTAGATTAGGTCGACATATGGATTCACATAAGTAGGACGTCGTCATAAAGTTTCATTCAAATCAGCGAATTCGAGATTCCCTTGCGAATATAATTAACATACAATGACTGGAGAAGTGATGGTGCGCTCAGAATGAAAATTCCAAATTTAAAGCAATATTATACTGAGATTTTTGTGGATATCTGTTCGGTTACTGTTTAAATCTCATTAAATGTATTATTGAATTTTTCTATTTACCATTTTGCAGTTTTTCAATTTTCTATTCTACGAATTTTTTCATTTTTTAGTTTTACACTTTTTCAATTTTCCACGTTGCAAATTTCTAAATTATTCCATTTATAAAAATGTTTTGATTTTTCGATCATACGTTCTTAAAATTTTCCAACGTTCCAATTAAATGTGATTAATATATAAAAATAACTCTGTCAAATATAACTGTCAATTAAATATGATTTTTAGTTTCAACCATTTATCGTTTTAATATCGGGGACAGTATTTTATGCTTTAACTGAAACTTACCTTCCACTATTAACGCTTTCAGACAACCATCAATCAATCTGCCAATTAAATACAGTACCTTAAATGCAGCACGTCGGAATCGTTGCAACGATCGAATTAAGTCGATTGTAGTATTTTATTTTCGAGCCGTAATTGATCGTCCAAGTGGAACGTGTTCAAACTATAATTAATCTGCCAATTAAAGATGACATCTCAGAGGTGACGTGCCAGAAACGTTGGGACAATCAAATTAAATCGACGATAATTTTATCGTTATTATATACAATATATCAACATCTTCGAATTATAATTTATTTTCGATATGAAATGCGTTCAAACAATAATTAATCTGCCAATTAGATATGACATTTCAGAGGTGATGTATCAAAAACGTCACAATGATCGAATTTAATCAATAGTAGTATTTTATTTTCGAACCGCAATGGTCAGTTGCAAACATGTTCGAGAAACGATCAATTTACCAATTAAATATATTACTTTATAACTGATGTATGAAATGTGTCGCAATGATCGAATGAAAGCATCGATATTTTATTTTGGAATCATGACTTATTCTATGGGTGTAGTTGTTGGTGACCGAAACAAACAGTAATTTATTATTGATAACAATGTGTTCAATATGATACAAAATTTATTTTGTATGCTGTATTAGTTATTAACTTATTTTATTTCTTTTATTTACATGGTATGGCCAATGATCATAGCAATCAAGGCCCTCATAAAATCAATCAATCAATCAATCAATCAATTTACATGGTTTATTTTATTTTTATGTGTAATTACTAATTGACTAATTTGTATTACATATACATTTACTAATTTGTATTCGTGTGATTACTTACATGTTTTATTCTATTTGCCCACCTATGCGTTTGCCACTTGTCTGACCACCTATGTGTATTCTACTTGTCTAACCACTCATGCATTTGCTACTTGTCTGGCCACCTGCGTATTATACTTGTCTGCTCACCGGTCTGTTTTATTGTACTTGTCCGACTATCAGTGCATTTTATTCTACTTGTCTGACCACCTGTGCATTTTATTCTACTTATCTGTCCACGTGTACGTATTACTTTACTTGTCTGATCATATGGACCTCATTTGTCTGACTAGCTATAAGTTCATACTACTTGTCTGACTACTTATGTGTTTTAATCTACTTGTCTGATTACCTGTGCATTTTATTCTACTTATCTGTCCATGTGTACGCGTTACTTGTCTGATCATATGGACCTCATTCGTCTGACTAGCTATAAGTTCATACTACTTGTCTGACCACTTATGTGTTTTAATCTACTTGTATGACCACCTGTGCATTTTAATCTACTTATCTGTCCACGTGTACGTGTTACTTTACTTGTCTGATCATATGGACCTCATTCGTCTGACTATCTATAAGTTCATACTACTTGTCTGACCACTTATATGTTTTAATCTACTTGTTCTTCTAATTGTCTCGCCACCAGTACGTTTTAATTTACTTGTCAGACCATTTACACGTTTTAATTCACTTGTCTGACCATCTATAACATCTACTTATCTACCCATGTATAAACTTTACTCCTCTAATTAGTTACAGACTAAGTACAGCAATTCGAAATGATATTATAATCTGATTCAAACTACGTCTACCAGCGCTATTTAAATCAACTACCACTTGTCATAGAACTCTATTCACATTTTACTTTCAAACGCAAAATAACAGTACCCCAAAGCTCAGTTTACGTTTACGATTTCCCATTTTTCCCCTTTAGCGATATACCCTGACCGAACTTAACCGTCAAAATACCCCTTAATTAAAATGCACCCCACCAATAGAACCTTCAGACACCGTATAAAATTCGTCGCACGGTCGAAGCGAACCGTCGCAGGATGTCATTACCGCGAAACCGGAATACTCGGGGGATGTCCGTCGGTCGATCTCGCTTCTGCATCATCGGGTCGCCGTTGAAATAAAATCTGATTTACAGCGCGATGTTTTCCAGTGGAAACGTGTGCCGGGAAAATTCGATCACGGTGACGAGCGTGTTGTCAAACCGCGGCGCTTTAGGCATGGCTCACACGCCGTGAAACGAACGCGACGGGATTTCAAGCTGGCCATCGTTCGAGCATCAATCGACAGCCTGCCATTCCTATCTCTCTGTAATTAGATGAACCGAACCCTCTGTACGTTTGTCAATGTCAAAAACTCTGCGACTGTTTGATCCACGGAATTTATCGTCCGTGAGCTAATTGCGCAATCGCGCCTTCCACTCGTTGCCTAACGATCTGCGGTGGAAACGATTTTCGAGAAACACCATTTTCGACTTTACCTACAGCCCTATATTGTCCCTTTGACGATTACGTTGGTTACTGTCCTCCGTGCGGACTGATGAACAAAACTGTGCTTCCTCTCAGACCACTTTTTTCAAACTTGAGTTTTTTTCAAAAGCTATGAAATTTTAACTGATACAAGCCATGTTACTGTATAACTGAGACATGACTTCATTACTAATTATGATTTATACAGAGATTACTAAA